TGGATATTGTTCTTTACCATACCCAATCTAATACAGATCACTGCATTTTACAGACACTAATTTTATATTTTCCTGCCTGGTTGTAGAAAACTTCTAGAAGTAAGGTTATCTGATATGTATTTGTCCTCATAACACCTTTACGGTACTTCTACTAGAAGCCTTTATTATAAGATAGTATTCTGCAATAATATGTGGTGTAATAGGTATGTGCACGCTACAGTGCCATTCATTCTGAATGGCACCCCAATGCACATACACAGGAAAAAATACAGTGATACTAAGGTGCACCATAATAAAGAGGTGTGAACAGTCTGTGCAATGTAATGAGCTGTTTTGCCTTAAATATTATGCAGGTACGGTATTTTGTTCACTGATGTCTGTTGACAGCCCATTCACAAAACAAATAGGCTGTCATAACAGGAAATGCACCATGGAATGATAAAAATGCGCCTTAATTTGCATATGTTATGGCACTGAAACAATGTAAATGGGAAAGGAACCCCAGCACCTGAAATGGCATTTAACCATGGTATGCATCTTCTGGAAGCAATTGTTCAAAACCGAGATCAAAGGAAGTAGATAAACTCATAGCATGAAGCTGGAGAGTTGCCTGGCATCACTTACAATGCCAACTTGATGGTCGTAATGTTAAGCACTTGCTCTTTTCAACACCAATAAATGTCAGCAAGAAACTTTATATAGTTCCTGCAAGTTTACAATTCACCCAAATATCCGGTCCAGGCTACACAGCCAGCAAAGGAATCCTGCATATTATGTAAAACACATCAAACATCTTCATACATATGCATGAGAAGTCACTTATTTTCAAAGATTTTAATGTCTTGTTTCAGAGAATAGTTTTTTATGAATTTTTTTTTTGCAATGATCAATTTTGACACTCCGGGCACATGTTAAAAATAATAATGTGCTCTTATGAAACAAGATGGAATTATAAAAGCTGAGGTTACAGTAGGGTAAAATGTAAATTCATTAGTTTCTATTTTATTTTATTACAAGAAGCAATTCAAGTTGGCCCTTCACTTATATACAACCAATTATACAGACATTTGAAAAATATATTCAAGTTGAAAAAAA